TTGCGCTTTCGGGGCAGGTGGTGGAACCACTGAGCTAAATCCTCGGCCCTAAAAAATTTTTTGATACCGGGACTTGAACTCGGGTCCTTGCACTTTCAGGGCAGGAGCCGGAACCACTGAGCTAAATTCCCGGCCCTCCAAAAGTTTTAAAACCAGCATCTTGTTTAGAAAATAACTTCTATCATATCCAATCAGTTATAACCAATGGGAGATTTGTACTAAAAAGACAAAGCTGGCTGCCTGACCTCCTACCAGCCCCAGGTTATAATTGAGGTCAAGAGCAAAAAGGCAGGCATCAGAGCCAAAGGAACAGGCAGCAAGCTGGTGGAAGAGGAGCCAGGACACAAGTGATTCTTGCAGGCTCTGCTTCCAGTGGCAGAAAGCTGTTTCTATTCTCCCTAGAAGGTAGACCGAGATGGAGAGTACGCTGTCCTGTATTTCAATCAGCAAAAAGACAAACACATTTCCAGGCACAGGAGGGTGAGCTGGAGCTCTACTCACTCATGGAAGGGAGCCTCTCCGGGCAGGGGTGGTTTGCGAAGTAGGTAAAGTCTTCAGGAAGGAACGTCGTGGTCTGGAGGAAGGACTCACTATGGTTCAAGTCAAGAGGATAATCTAGGGAGGGAAGGGGAGAGGCAACTCAGACTTGCAGTCTCTAACTCCTACGCCTCCCATGAAGAACTTTTCCCATGTGCCATCTTGCAGGCAGCAGGCACTGGAGGCCTCTGCACCAGCCCTGAAAACCTGTACTCAACAGGAAACACAGTACTGGAGGACACTGCTGTAACCAGGGCTCCCTTCCCATTCTTACCATTTTAGGCTTCTAGGCACTCAGTTTAGAGTCAACTGTGTATAATTAAAGTAAATGTCAACAGCAGCATTCCCTCTCCCTCACTTCTTTTTCACTAAAGCAAGACTCCTCACCACTTCCGGCCAACTGTTAGCACGGATACTGAGTACCCACCTCCATTCGCCTGCGAAGCTGGTCACACAGCTGCTGTCACCTTCCCTCTACAGGAGATGAAGGCATCACTCCCCTTCCTCTCACTGCCCCTTTTCCATCCCCCTGTCTTACAAGAATCACATTAAAATTCGGTGTTTACAGAAGTAGTCTGCTATAAATACTAGTCATAACACAAAAGCAGAGAGGAAAGTTAGCATAATTTCTTCCCAAAGCAGCTACCTCGTCTTTCTGTTTAACAACACCATCCCCTTCCCCACTACGCTTCCTCTGAAGACGTCTTTGCGCACCTGTGCTCTCTCATCCTCATCCTCCCATACCCCTTCCCTTCCTGAATGCCTGTGGGCAGATGCCACCTGGGACCTCTCACCACTGTCCTAGAAACTGCTTCTGCCTCTCTAGAATGAGACTGAACAGGAATTGGATAAGGCTGGCCAGCAGACTCAGGTAAAACCACCTCACCTTCCTCTCCATTTGAATAAACACCAAACACTTGCCTTTCTATCTGAAAAAACGGATATTTAAACATACTTGAAAGATGTTATTAGAGCAAATATCTGTGAATTATGAAGAATTAGCACATTTAGAGGTAACTATCTCCTGGGAGAGCAGCCACAAAGCCTCATGTGGTCATAGGTTGGGCTTTTCGGAGGTGGCTGGATTTAAGGTGTGGGCGTATGGATTAAGGGTGTGATACTGGGAATAAGGTGTGGATAATGGAAGTCCAACCCTGAGTGTGGATGACACCAAGAAATAGGCTTGTTATAAAGGGAGAGAAAGAAGGTAGTCTCCTGCTGCTTTCTGCCTTCTGCCTGCCATGCCATGAACTGTTTCTCCTCTGCAATGCCCTTCTGCCATGCTGCCTTCCCTTGGAACCAGCTGACTATGGACTGAAACCTTTACAAACTGTGAGCTGAAATAAACTCTTCCTCCTTTAACATGTAGGTGTTAAATATTTTGTAGCAATGAAAAAGTAAGTAAGACAATCACTAATTAGAGAAAAGTTTGGATCAGGGGTTAGTCAAACAACCAAGCCACTCCATTTCTGCTCCCCCCCCCGGCCAATATTTATTTCTACTACATGTGAAAAATGGAAGGGTTGGGAATATAGCTCAGTGGTATAGTGCATGCTTACCATGCACAGGCAGAAGGAAGGGAGGGAGAGAGGGAGGGATATAACTGAAATTCAGCCAGACCTGAATCCAGCAAACAATGTGCGTGGGGAATGTGTGTAGACCTAACACCACACACAAGGAATTAGGATGGCAAAAATGTGCTCAGACTTCACTTCACAACTGCAAGTATTCCTTTATCCTAGGTATGGTTTACAGCTCAGGCAATTTATTCCAGCAGTGACCACAATTTGTCTAAAGAGCTCAGGAGAAAGAAAGTATGAAAAGCTCATCAGTTTGCTAACTACAGTCCTTTGTTGCCGATAAACCGGCCAGCAGAAGAGACTGATAAATTACGTTGTGGTCAATTCTAGGCTCTAACTTCCCTTTATGAGGCAATGCTTTCCCTGCATTTTTCAAGCACCACTGACTAAATCTCATTTACAAAGTCTGCAAAGAAATTTCCTATTTTGGGCCGGGGATTTAGCTTAGTGGTTCCACCGCCTGCCTTGCAAGTACAAGGAGCCAAGTTCGATCCCCGGTATCAAAAAAAAAAAAAAAAAAAGCTAAAGAAATTTCCTATTTTACAGTAAACTTCAGTCTTAAAGCTTAATAGAAGAGAGGGCTGCTACAAAAGAAAGACTATTTTAAAATATGTACTTTTTAAAAATAAGGGCCTTGGAAGCCACAGAAAAGTACATTATCCCCAGCTAAACAAAGAGTAAATCTCAGGTGTTAAATAAAATGAAATCTCAGAAACTATGTTTTCTTTAAACCATCCCTGAATCAGGCATGGTGGCATACTCATGTCTATAATTCCAGCATTCTGGGACAATGAGGCAGAAAGATCACAAGTTTGAGGCCAGTCTTGGGCCAGGCAAGACCCTGTCTCAAAATGAAAAAAAAGGGGGGCTGGGGATGTCTTTCAGTGTGAAAACCCTGGGTTCAATCCTAGTAAAGCAAAGGGCATGGTGTTGGCTTATAGTGATTGTTTGCAAAGCGCGTGCACATATGCATGCACACACACACCAGACAGGGAGTATCTCTGGACAGTGGAAATACTTATATTCAGTTTCTAGAAGAAATAAAAAAGCTTTATCTTACAGTTGAAGAACTTGCAATGCAGTCTATATAAATATACCTAGTTAAGGGTTTGGGATAGCTCAGTGGTAGGGCACAGGCCCAGCACACATGCATTCAATCCCCAATACCCAAAAAACAAAAGCAAGTCAGAACCATGGTCAGCAGTAAGTTCTTGTACAACACTGAGCACACACACCATCTACCACCTTGCCTCTGAGTTCTTTTCTCTCTATATCATTAATGCTCATATGATAAGGGCCACAGTTAAAAGTGCAATTGAGGGCCGGGGATTTAGCTCAATGGTTCCGCTGCCTGCCTTCCAAGCGCAAGGTCCCGAGTTTGATCCCTGGTACCAAAAAAAAGTGTGACTGAGGCAGAAATGTCTACTTTTGGATTCGTTGTTGCAATGACTGGCCAAACGGTTTGCTATTGTTTAGATCTGATGGATACCCCAAAGGCCCGGGTGTTGAAGGTCTGGCCCCCAACTTGGCACTCTTGGGAAGTGGTGGAAACTTGAGAAGGTGAGGTTTGGTGAGAGGACTTCAGGTTGTTACCAGACGTAGGTCCATTAGCTTAGGTTTGTTTGCTCACTGCTGACCAAATCATGGAGGCCGTGTATTTTGGTGAGAAGAAAAAAGCTTTTATTCAAAGCCAGCTCTGAGGAGATGGAGGGGCCTTTTTGCCTGAAATGGCCATCTCTCTCTGTGCAGGTGTGTAGTGGTCCTCTACAGCATGGAACAGAGCAGAGGGAATACTATGAGACAATACACATCTCTGGGCTTGTTTATCCCCTCTGGCCATCTCTAGCTGGATCCCTCTCTTTCCTGTGCAAAAGAAACTGGTCTGTGACCTCCTGGAGCCATCACCTGCATATTCTGTCACTTCATTTGGGTGGAGAAGAGGAGGGTATTATTTATGCACTCAGCAGGAGAAAGACTGGAGAAGCCTCTTCTCTCTCAGAAAAAAAAATCTAGCTGTCAAGTGTAGTTCTACCATGTAGGTTGGAAGGACATTGGGCCATGCCCTCCGAGGGAACAGAGGAACCAGGCCATTTCCTCTTTTAGAGTTATGGCCAAAAAGTGAGCAGTTTTGCTCCACCATGATGTGCTACCCAGTCACAGCACCAAAAGCAACCGGTGGACTCATCATGCACTGAAACCTCTGAAAGCCTGAGCTTTTTCTAAACTGATTATCTCAGGCATTTGTAATGCAAACTCAACTATGTAGCTGAGATTAAGCCAGAGGATGAACATCGTATCTGGCTGGGAGGGAAGGCCAGGTGATCGTCTAAACTTCCCTTCCAGAAGTTGCTTTTTAATAACTGTAACTTGTGAAAACTGTTGCCAGATTACATGATAATTATGAAATGGAGATTTGCTGTTTCAACAAAAGCATTTATGAACAATGGGGTGCATAAGTCCTCCTGGGTTGAACAAATGTAAGTGGGTCCAACAGGAGCAGCAGAGTTGGGCTGTAACCACACCACAGGCTGTAACTCTGCCCATCACACACCATGTGTGTCTCCAAAAACTATATCAAACAAACAGACCCACAATATTAAGCCATGCCACAAGTGAGTATATAGAGAGGTCCCACCAAATTCTGCACACCCCTTATGTAAATACACTTTCTGAGATTAAAAGCCAAATTATTCCCCCCAAACAATTTCTGGTGCTCTTGTTCTATTGGAGCCCTAAGCATATGCTCCCTCTACCCACTAGAGCAAGATATTGGTGGCCATGACATTGAAAGGGGGTATCTGTAAGAGTACTGTGAAAAACACCCTTTACCTCCCTGAGAAGGACGAGGTGTGAAAATGCAATCCAGTCAGTCACCCTCAACATACTGTTAGCAGAGGTGAGCAAGGACTCACTAGGCAGGAGCTTTAGTAGTAGTAAAGTCAGACACAGCCAAACCTTCCTTTCCCACAATACACTTTTTTTTTTTGGTACTGGGGATCGAACTCGCATCCTTGCACTTGCAAGACAGAGGCAGCTGAACCACTGAGCTAAATCCCTGGCCCTATACTTTCTTCTTATAATTATTCAAGGCAAATTTACCTCTCTTGGGAAGAGCCATTTCACCCCCTCTTTACTAAGAACATACCTGAGTCATTTAGGCTGCTGTTCCTCTTTGCATAAGCACTGCGAACCACCTGCTCATACACCTGAGCACCTATGGTCCTCACGTTGTCCCGCAGCAGGATGCCTTGAGCCTGCATCATGAAGAGGTAGGTGTTCACTGTGGAAAACAGAAGACAGCAGAAGAAGAGGTGAACTCAATACCAACCTCAACAAAATCTACCACAAAACTTTGGGCTCCTTTTCTCCCTTTGGAACTGTAAAACCTCTTTCAGCTCTAAAACCTTATGATGCCATATATCCATTTTTCATTCTGGAGTCAGTGTTTTCAGGACACTAATATTTTGGGTAGCTAATAGGGCTAGCAGGAAATTCTGTCAGTATCTAGTAGATGCAGAAAAGTTATAAACTTCAAAAATTACATTCCACCCGGTCCGCAGACACCCAATCTTTATTCTAGCACTATGAGAATAGGACTTTAATGAGTCAATTAAAACATTTTTAAAGAGGTTTCTGCTCTATGTCTACCTTCTCCAACACAAAACCACAGACCACTCTATTCCTTTTTTTTTTTTTCCCGGGTGAGACAGGGTCTCATTATGTACTTCAGCCTGGCCTTGAACTCACGCCAATCTTCCTGCCTCAGCCTCCAAAGTGCTGGGATTATAGATGTGTGCCACCATGGGTGGCAAGACCACACTGTTTCTGGAGACACTGAAATCGAGTCTGGTCTGAGCAATCTTTTTAAAGTGGTGGACTAAGGCTTCAACCACTCTGAGGGATCTGGAGAGAAAAGGTAAATAATACAAGAGTATCAGAGTCCTCGGTCTCCACCCAACCAGCCCAAATATCTACAGCAGCAGGAAAGCACAAGCAGCATGGTGTGAGTGTCAATTAAACATCCTTGGAACAAATACATATTCAGATTAATGAGACAATCACTGTCATCTATGGAGGGTGATCTCACTTGGCTGTCTCTTAAATCTCTAGCACACAAGACTGGAAGCTTACAAACACATCACAACAGAACTGCCTTTCCTTTACAATCTCGAACAGTATGCCAGCTATTTTCAAGAAATTCTAAGGTTTGACAATACATTCTTCTAGCCAGTCATTTTAACTGACTCACTTTCCCCTGTGAAAGGGGGATGTTGTGCAGGAATGGCACATTTACAAATCCAAGCTCTGTGTGTGTTTGAAGGTAGAATCCTCTAAGCACCTGGCTGACCTCCAACCTGGCTAGTACAAACCCATGCTCTAACAGGCCACTCCTCCACACTCATTAAACATGGCCTTGGGCTATCAATTCTGGCTCTTCAGCAACATATAACTTGTTGATTTCTACTATTAACATAGTGCTGTATACATAACGGGCAGTAAATGATGACTGAATTTGGATGAATGATGACACTCAAAGGCAATTTCCTTTATTCCAAGCTCTGGAATTTGGGTAACGGTGATTCGGGGCTGGGAGGAAAAACCAACTACTAGCATAACTCCTCAGTATTGAAAACCCTAGGTGACCAACCTGAAACAGAGACACAAACTCTGTGAAATACATCAGTGTTCAGGACACTTCCAGAAATGAGGCAGAGATGGGCTGGGGGCTAGGGCTCAGTGGCAGAGCACCTGCCTGGAATGTGGGAGGCCCTGGGTTCCATCCCCAGCACCACAAGAAAAAGAAAAGAGGTAGCAGTTTCAAATTAGGCTTTACACTGACTGGAAGACAGCCACATTCCTATCTCCTGACACAGAAAACAGATCAGATACTACTATCTAGTGGCTAGAAAAAGCTAAGGAAAACAGCAAAATCCTCTTTTAAAAATATAATTCTGCAGAAGCCTATGAAATAAGAATAACATCTCATTTTCTATTTCCAGCACATAGCACAGTGCCAGGTCACAGAAGGTGGGACGTCCATAAAAATCTGTTAAACATAAGATTTAACCCTAATATCAGATTTCTCATTTGATGGCATTATCATTTGGGCTATGTGTGTTCCCACAGCCCTAAAATCTTCATCTCCAACATAGCACTAAAGCAGGTGTCATCAATAATATAAAAAAAGTATTTCTTGAACATTATGTGTAAAACTTTTAGTTTGGTACTGCAAAGAATTCCCTACTCCCTTCCTTCTGCACTCTCAGCTTTTAGTGCCATGCTTGCCACGTTGTTGCCACAACCTCTCCTTCCAAAGTTCCCAGTGCTCAAATGGCTTAAATGATTACTCTCAAGGAGCTGGCTCTTAAGTCTTTATCTCCTGCACAAAGCTGCCAGATGTGGCCTCGGCTCTGCTCCAAAGCCTCTGTCTCCTGCCTCCACCCCAACTTGCTACAGACCTGTGGTGCGACTTGCAGTCTTCAAACCCAAGCCCACATAGTCCGGAAGAAACTTCTACACCACGCCAGTCTTTCTTGAACAGATCATCAAAGTCTGGCTTTCATTACATTGTGTCTCAGTTTGCTAACAGTATCTCATGTGTTAGTCTTGTCATTCAACTAATAAATTCACACAGACCACATATTAATAATTGTTCTAATTACCCACAGGAAATAACACAACGGCTTGGGGAAAAAAAGATTGAGGAAGTAAATATTGCCAAACAAAAGGAAATAATCACACTTTCACAGACTTGGGACTGGACTGAATTTTAAAGAACGCTCTTCAATACCATCTAATACTTTCACGTTACCAGGAACTGACTTCCAAGAACACAGGGACAATCTGCAAAACACAGCCCATCTGCAAAGAAAATTCTACTTTGGGCTGGATCCAGAATGTTTCCCAGTCACTTTTTCTGCTTCTCATTCAACCTTTGCCAGCCACCCCCACCCACCCTCGACAGCCCCCTTCTATGTGTGCCCCTGCCTCGGCACCACAGTTTCTCTCCTGGTCCTGGCCATTCGCTCTGAATCCCTGCTGACTGCACTTGACAAAGCGGGGTGCCCACGCTGACAGTGATCCAGGTGCAGGCAGGCAGATGAGCCCAGAAGCAAGCAAGCCACCAGCAGCCTCTTATTCCATCTGTTACCAAAGAACTGTCAGCTTGAGCCCCTTTTAGAGATTCACAATGCACATAATTCAAGGCCAGAAATCCCCAGAATAGAGATGCTCAGTTACTTAACCCACCACTTCCCGAACCAGAACCTCCCCCTGCATAACAACCAGTAACATCAAGTGATTCTCCGCAGAGCTCCTTTCAGGAAATTGTTTGGGATATTTCCATTAGTAGACTTTAAAACTTCCCTCACTTGGTTAGGTATTCAAATGATATTTGCTGAATGTTACTGTAAATAGCAGTCACACTGTATTATTGATTCTTATTAGGGTTGCTTAAGGCGAAATCCCCTTAAGCTTATTAGAGATGCTGCTGCTAAGCTGCCTTCTCTTCTCCTCTTGTGCGCTCATGTGACTGGTCATAGATTTCAAGCAGTAGGACTGTACAAGCTATTAAAAGTCTTGGTGCAGGCTGGAGATTTAGCTCAGTGGCACCATGCCTGCCTCAAAAGTGCAAGGTCCTGAGTTCGATCCCTGGTACTGGGAGAAAAAAAAAGTCTTGGTGCTAAGTTCAGCCCATAACTCTGGCCTAAAGGAGGAACCACCTATGCATGCACAGGTTGCTTTCAATTTAAATCAGCTCAACTACAATTTATGTTCTGTGGAGCTGTCTTGTCACCAGTGCAGACTGGGGAAGTTTACTTGAGATTCCAGCAGCCCCAGGGGACAGCCATCCTCAGACCCCTAGCCACCTCTTTTTGGCCTCGGGATATCAGTTATCTCCACTGAGACAGACAAGGTATGCCTGCGCTGAAATCTTGCAGACTTGGACTTAATGTCCATGGGAAACCTCCCCTCAGCCCCCCATGTGTAACCATCTTAGGCTTCATTTTTCCTTACAGAAGTAGCTATCATCTCGACTTGTATCTCAGATAAGAAGTCAAGTCCTCCAGAGGTAATCTGTCCACAGTTACATGGTTAAGTGAAAACCCTAGAGGTAAAGAAGCTAGGTATTCTAGGTTTAATGTAACATTTCAATGAACTTTGAAAGCAGTACTTTCCAATAATGTGGTCCCATTAACAGCAGCTGAATTGCTGTTAAAACCCCAATTTTAAATTAGTACACAGGCCAGGGATTTAGCTTAGTGGTGCTGCCGCCTGCCTTGCAACCGCAAGGTCCTGAGTTCAATCCCTGGTACAAAAAAAAACCACCCAAAACAAATTAGTTCACAGTGGTTAGATCCTGTATTGTCTAAAGAAGTTCCTGTCGAGCACCTCCCGTTTGGTGTATAGGACTAGGTCTGGAGGGCAGGGGTGGGCGAGACAACCCAGAATATGTAACATACGGACACAACTGAACAAGAAACTGTAACGCACCGTGAGAACTGATAAAAGAATATTTAACACAAATTCACGCTTACTAAAAACCTATTTTACACTTTCATTATTATCCAGCCCCAGTGTCTAGACTGGAGAATCTCCTGACCATAATTCAGTTGAGAAAAATAAGCCTCATTCATGTTTACACAATTGGAAATTTCCATCCAGAGGCCAGTGTAAGCCTCCTGGGGGCTCAGCTCTACCTGGAGCGCTCCAGGAATAGAGCTACATCTTTAGCTCTGGCCACAGGACACAGTCTTTCTTCCTCCCACCTCGGGTGCTAACAGGAAGACAGCCTCTCCCCTCTCCACTAGAATTCCAGTCAGCCTCACCTCCCTGGGAAGCAGGTAACATGATTTTCTCTCAAACACACACATTAAGAATGATTGTGTTCCACCACCTGCCTCGCAAACACAAGGTCCCAAGTTCGATCCCCGGTACCAAAAAAAAAAAAAGAATGATTGTGACTGAGAAAAGTTCCTCACAAAATAATGAAATCTGACTTTCTAGATTAGAAACAAAATACTGTGACACAATGAATGCAGAGGTAAAGAAAGAAGCAAGGGTCTGCCTACCTACAAGTAGTTCACAGTTTTTAATCCTAAAGATGCACAACCTTAATGTTTGCCACAGTCAGCTTGCTAAGTTAAAAGAGGGGTAAGAAGCAGAAAAGAAAGCCAGCCCCTTTGACCACACCTTACAATCCGTGCCTCATCCCAGCACATGCCACAGCTGTGCAAACACACCACACACCAACTGGCCTTTCTGCCTCACTTTTCTATCTAAAGGTACTACATATTTTAAAGCACCCCCCTGCCGTGTCACTGCACAGGGCTAGGGGTGCCGTTCGCTTCCTTCAGTGCTTAGACCCAGTGGTCAGCAGGACACCTAGGACACAGAGGATGCACAATGACCATATGGGCAAATGAGTAAGATTTTTTTCATACAAGAAAATAAATAAGAATTGCAGCAGGTCACAACGGAGTCTTCTGAGCTCTGCCATACTTGGGGAGTATAGATATGAGATTTCAAACCTTTTTCTTTACTTTGCATTAGTCCTTTCTGAGAGGAACCCCAAACACTGTATGTTAATCAGTTTTAGCGCATAAACCTACTTCTAAGAAAAGCTCACCAACTCTCAACTGCAGCTTTTCCCCAAAACATGTTCCACTACTCTCACTCCTCACTGAGGTGTACGTACTGCAATTCACCTACAATCTCTTCCCCATGGGCGGTGAGTTGGGGTCTTCATCTTCTCCTTGGGTACGTGCTTGGACCCGATCAGGTAACAAGGCTACCCCAATCCTCAATGACAGTAGAGCAACAGAAATTAATGGAACTATGTGCAACCTCATGAACGCTCTTCTCTATTATCACTTGAGCAAAAAAGCCAGACACAAAGAGCACATGTGGTAGGATGCCATGTATGTAAGCCCCAAGGGCAGGCAGGCACCACTAATTTACAGTGCTGGAGACAAGAAAAAGGCTTCCCTTGGGGGTGGAGGGATAGAGGGGAAAAAAGGGGGAAATTGTATATGCATTCACATGGTTTTTCGTTTTTGGTACTGGGGATCGAACTTGGGTCCTTGCGCTTGCAAGGCAGGCTTCGGAACAACTGAGCTAGATCCCCAGCCCTGTATTCACATGTTTTTACAAAAAGAAACAGAGGTAGGGTAAACCAGAAGCTACGTATTATCTATAGGTAGACACAGTGAAGAGAATAAGGATAGGATTAAGACTTAAGTACATCCTTTTATATTTCACACATTTAAAAAGCTGTATGTAACAAAGGGAAAAAGAAATCCTAAAATTCTAATTTTGTATATCAGTCTGAAAATACAACCCACAAAAAATTCAAAATAACTTTTGAACATAGT